CTGGGCCTCTGAGTCCTCCTTCCTTTGGTGGAAAATCTTCCTGTCTGATCAGTGGAAAAGTTGCATGAAGGGGAGGGTGGGACTCACTCTAGTGTATTTTTTCACTTGACAACATGGTAAATTAATTTGATGTTTTCATTTATAAATTGATCCTTATTGCTTCTGAGGTATGGTCAGCTTAGCGTATGTCTCACCATAGCCTAATTCCCTTGGGCAAAGAGAATGACAGCTCTTACCAACCATGGTCTCCTTATCACAATCACACATGATGAAACCTCCACTCATTTTCTATATTATAGTTTACTGGCACCTTGGTTATTTCAAGTAGGCAATTAGAAATGAGGCAATTAAGAAACCAATGCAGTTGAATTACCACACATACAGTCAGTTGCAGTGGGAATCATCCATTTCATGGCAATGGTCAGTTCTAGCAAACCAGCAATGTCAGTTCAGAAGTATTCCAGGTCTTTTCTTCTCTAGTCTAATCATCCACACATCACTCGAGGCATGGTCAGAACTTCATCTGGGTTAATTGGGTTCTGTCAGTCAGCAACAGGGGCTGGTTTTGTCCCTTTGACAGCAAGATAAAGAAAAGATTTAACCCATGACAGCTTTTTTCATTCACTTTTGTCTGGGCAGGTGATCCCTTATGGACATTGTGCTGGGTCATGGAAAAGGAAAACAGGACACCTGTAACTGATCTCATTCCCTTGAGCTTCACAGACCTCCTTAGGTGGGCACATGGCCCCATGTGCCATTATCTTCTCCATGTATCTTTGTTAGACATGTTCCTCACCTTCCTGGAGGAATTGTTCACCACATGTAGTAATCAGCATCTGCAGACCTTGCTGCATTTCTTCTTCCTCATCAGGTTTCCATTCTGGAGATCTAGTACACCACTACGGTTGTGTCAAAAATGATGAATACTTTCTGTGTCATAAGGAAAACCATTTGTGTTGCCTGCTGCTTGGTACAGTCATTTCTCCTCTTCTTCCTGGCTATCACGGAGTTTGTGATCCTCTCAGTGATGTCCTTTAATCGTGATATTGCCATATGCAAACTTCTCCATTACACCACTCTCATGAAAAAGAAAACCTTTCAAGGTTCCTTCTAGCCTGGACTATTCTATGATTCTATGATACTCTCAGTGACGTCCTTTACTCGTGATGTCACCGTATGCAAACCACTGCACTGCACCACTGTCATGACAAAGATAATATGCATTCTGAAAGAGTTTATTGTAATTGAGACTAACATATTTGGTAGAGAAAATGGGATGCTGCATGGCTAATGTCCTCTTCATTTCCTAGACTTTTTCACCTAAAGAGACATACACTACAGGCAGGGAATAACAGAATCATAGAAGCATAGAAGCGTCGTTTGGCTTGGAAGGGACCTTTAAAAGTCAACTAGTCCAACCCCCTTGCAATGAACAGGGACATTTTCAACTAGATTAGGTTGCTCAGTCCAACCTGACCTTGAATGTTTCCAGGGATGGGGCATCTATGACCTCTCTGGGCAACCTGAGGGTGCCTGGGTTTCAACATCCCCATTGTGAAAAGTGTCTTCCTTATATCTAGAGTAAATCTATTCTTTTTTTGTTTAAAACTATTACCCCTCGTCCTATCACAACAGGCCCTGTTAAAAAGTCTGTCCCCATCTTTCTTATAAGTCCCCTTTAAGTACTGGAAGGCTGCAACAAGGTCTCCCCAGAGCCTTCATTTCTCCAGGCTGAACAATCCCAACTCTCTCAGCCTGTCCTCACAGCAGAGCTGTTCCAGCCCTCAGAGAATTTTTGTGGCCTCCTCTGGACCTGCTCCAACAGGTCCATGTCTTTCCTGTGCTCCAGAGCTGGACGCAGCACTGCAGGGGAGTCTCACCAGGGTGGAGTAGAGGGGCAGAATCTCCTTCCTTGACCTGCTGGCCAAGCTGCTTTAGATGCAGCCTGGGATACGGTTGGCCATATGGGCTACGAGCAGACATTGCCGGCTCATGTCCAGCTTTTCATCCACCATCCCAAGTTCTTCGCAGCAGGGCTGCTCTCAATCGCATCACCCCCCAGCCTGTAGCAAAGATGGACATACACACATTTTAACTTTTTTAGAAGGTTTTTGTCACAATCAAGAGAAATGAGAGTCCACAAAGAGTAAGTACACAGATCCATATTAGAATTCTGTCTTAAGGTGGCAGATATATGTAACCAGAGGAGTGTATTGATCATCTAGGTCTTCTAGGTGACAGCTCTGTTGTGCACTGAAGGGCTCCATCCTGAGGTCCATTGCCTAGGCCCAGGGCAGAGAGTGGCCTTTGACCCATGCTAGGGCTCTGCTTCGTGGATTTAGAAGCAGTACTCGTCTGCCCACTGTAACTGCTCAGATCGATCCTGTTCCCTGCAGAGCTCGGTGTGGGGAGAAGTGTTCTGCTGTGAGGGCACAGATCTGCCCTTCAGTGTGCCTATGTGGGTCCCAGTGGTGTGAAGGGTCTGTTGGAGGATAGATCTGCAATGGACAGAGACAAGAGTACTAGGAAGACCCTGGCCTGCAAGTGAGGAGCAGTGGTGGTGTGAGCTGAAGTTGGACTAGACCTGCCTCAGAGCACTTGGGGAACCAGGAAAGACTGCAGGCAGGGTGATATCCTGTGTTTGTGCTATGCTTACATTGGTGCCTGTGCTGTATCGCTGAAGGTGCCCAGAGCCCAGAAAGATGGAAAAAGATGGTGTCTCTGTGCCAAACTGTGGGCAGGAAGAGTAGGAAGGGAACCTCACATGTTCCTTGGAGTGCTGTGTGTCTCAGCTGTTATTCTGAGCCAAGCAGTGCCTTCAGGAGTTCCCTTTCTGCACCCAGGAGAACACAGATGCCCATCAATGAATTTCTCTAGCCCTGCATGTATGGACAGAAGCTGGGCCCTGCCAGGCGCTGAAGGTCTGTATGAGGTACCCACGTCATCTGCCTGTGCACATGTGTGCTGGCCATGGACCCCAAATCATGTAATGGAGGCGCAGGGAAGGTGGAGATGAGGCTCTGGGCTGTCCACAGCTATTACTGTCTCCATATCTCCACTCCTGCTGCTCTTTGGAGCCAACGTCTATTCGAGCCTCCTCCCTCAGGACAGCCCCACCCAGAGCTAGAGCAAATCCCTTTGCCAAGAAGCCGGGGGACTGTTGACCTCATCCACTGACCACCCATAGCCATGAGCTCTTCACTCAGGGGTTGGGCTCCCCATTTGCAGAACGCGTGCGGGGGCACAGTGCTCCAGGCCCATCTGGAAAGAGATGCAGCAAGATTGGAAGGACTGATGCCATTGGCTGTGGAGTAGCCAGGAATGTCTTCCTCATCTCCAAGGGACAGGGCACAAAAGATTGCCCAGTGCACTGAGTCCTACCCTCTCCTTCGTCTGGGAAAGAGGAAGGGTCCTCTTTTGCACTCACCCTAATCCTCTCCAGAAAGCCACGTTTCTTCCTGAGCAGACCGCAAGGTTTGCCACCAAAGGAAGGAGGACTCAGAGGCCCAGGCTTGGATGCAGCACAACTTTAATGAGTCCAAAGCAGAAAATGAGGTGGCTCACAAGGGAGCAACAGGGGCAGCCACTAAGCTGTGGTGAGGCTTCTGCAGTGTGTCCATCAGCCTGCCCTGCAGAGGGAGGGAGACCAACAGGGCCCTGCTAGGCTGGCATTGGGAGATGGCAACAGAAAAGGAAAGGAAGAGAGAGAAGAGAGTGGAAGAAAGAGACAAGGGCCCAAATCTCTAAATGTAATGCCCGAAGCTCTGTCTTCATTCCAGCACCATGTTCTGAGGTCTTTTGGAGTTCTTGCCAGGGGATATTGCCAGCAGGTTTAGCAGGGTTGACATCTGTTGCCACAGTAGTAGCTGGCAATGCAGAAGAGGTCACAGCACCCAGAGTTGATGGGCACTCCATCACAGCTGAGGATGCTGCCAACAGCAGCGGAGGTGGAGGATCCCACAATGATGTTCTGCGGGAAGGAGCTGAGGATGGGTCCGGGCAGGGTCACCACCACGGGGGAGGGCTCAATGACAACGGTGGAGTTCTGGCACTGCCTGACACAGGGCTCATTGCAGCTGTTGGCCAGCGGGGTCAGGCCGCAGGGCCGGCAGGGCTGGCAGGACTGGCAGGGCAGGCAGGGCTGCACCTGCTGTAGCAGGACATGTCTGGGTCAGAGGTTATAAGAGGCAGTAAGTTAAATGAATCTTCTCCAAGTTAAGTCTGGTTTGCCTGTGATGGAAATTGGTAAGTAAAACCTCTGCCTTTATCTCGACCCACAATCTTTTTCATCTTACTTTCTCTTCCTATCCTGTTGAGGAGGGAGAGCAAGCAGCTGGGTAGATGTCTGGAAACCAGCCAAGGTCTTTTTTGTTTTGCAACAGTTATGGTAGTTAGAAATTCCATGAGTGTTTGTCATTGACATGCTTTTTTTCCGCGTAGTGTCTGTGCCATCAGGAGCATTCTCTTTCTCCTACAGTTGTTCCATTCAGAGGATAGTGGTAAATGTTGTCAACTGGTGTTTGTGCTTGTCTACCTGGAAACCAGTGACAGGTTTACAGCTTTTCTTTCCCCAACCATCCATCCCTCATTGCCTCTCTTTTTTGATCCATCCACTCTCAATGTTTCACAGACAGGTCAGTGCAAAATCATCTCAGCTGTCTTTGTTGTCCCAAATTGCTGAGGTCCAAGCAGCAAAGGCTGTTCTTCATGAGCTGTAGGCTTCAGCGGAGGATGGAGCTAGGAGGAGGGACACAGTACAGTTCTTCTCTCTTGGCATCCTGGCAGGAGGCCCTTTTGTGCAAGGCTGAGCTCTGGGGAAAGGGCTTTCAGTTCTCCCCTGGCAGCCCTATAACTCCCATGCACGAAGAGATCTGCAGGCAAAGATCCTTTTCCTCTGAGGGGCTGGGGTTAGTATCTCAGGGAAAAGGAGTAGATGGTAAGAGAACTTCTGCCATGAAACTGTTCTCCTGCACCCCAGGATGGGATTGCACTTGCCATGAGCTGCGAAGAGAGAGCATGGGCTTTTATGATCAGTGTTCTCTCTAGAGTACTGTGTGAGGAACTGTCAGATACTCATCTCTGTCATATTACAGGCCCATGTGAAAAACCTTTTGGTTCTGGAGCTGCTCTGTCCGATGGGAGTGGAGATGTGCAGTCTGCAAGAAACCTCAGCCCTGAAAATCCATGTAATGAAGTGCTGGGCTGCATGGGGCACTCTCTGAGTGTGAAGGAAGAACAAGGGACTTGCCCTTATTGTCCTTGCCTTTCAATGCATTACAAGCTGCCTCCTTCTGGAGATGGGTGGGAAGGTGAGGAGAAGGAGGCAACAGTGGCTCTGGGCTGTAGCCAAGATGATTTCTCCTACCATCTCTTCCTTCCATCCTCACGGCCAACTTCTGCCTGAGCCTTCTCCCCCAGCATAGCCCCATTCAGAGCAAGAGGAACTGCCTTGAGTGCTGGTGGGGATGCTGACCTCCCAGGGCCTCCTGCAGCACTGCGGCCCTCCCATGAAGGCAGCACAAGTTGGGATCACCACATCTGTAGGGCATGCTCTGAGGCCAAGGGGAGAATTTCTGGTCAGAGATGCAACAAGGGAAGGGCTGATGGTCACTGGCTGTGGAGTAGAGAGAGATGTTGTCCTCAGGGCCAACACTTGTCGGAGTAGGACATATCTCAGGGCTGGTGGTCAACCTGGGAGAGAGGGAAGGGAGGAAGAAGAGCACAGGACACCTGAGGAACAGCCTGCAACCTCACCAACAGGAAACCAAGGCACCTGCCATGTGGGGAGGTGGAGGCTGTGCAGCGGGGAGCAGGGGCTTCTTTGCCTGACCTCTGCGGGGTCCTTTGGGTAGCAGCCAGGCCCAGGGATGCTCCTGCCTAGCCTGTAGCAAAAGCTACCTCAGTCCAGCTTCTGCCTCTCTCCATGACTGCCCATGTCTCCTGTGCCCCCATGACCATGATCGCACAGAGCACTTGCAAGACTAAGGAGCAGGTATCAACTTGAAGGCTAGACTTTGTCCTGGAGCAGGTGGATGAGAAAGGGTGTTCCACGTCACCTGGTTCCAAAGGAGAAGGCGGTGACTGAAGTGGTCGAGAGAGCGACCAGTTGGGCTGTCTTTTATACTACGCGCCCAACTCTGCCGCGGGCCGAAAGGCAGCCTCTGCATAAGGGACAATTTTCCTGTATGCCCGTAATGAATGGAAATATCCCAGGGATGTGTTGCTGTTTCCCTCTACACTACCTTCGTATTTCCTGGTTTATGGTTTATGATGGATGAGCAAGACCCTTTGAGATTCTATATGGGAAAGTATTCCCTGTGATTCTTCTGAGAATGGTTTTGGGGGAGACCAAATATATATAAAAGCACAGGCCAGTATTAAGGAATATAAGATTTCTCTGTCGCAGACATTATCTACACTGTGTAGGTACATAAATCAAAAGATTTCTCTTCTTTTATACACCCCAGTTCACCCATTCCAAGCTACTCAGACTCTTGCAGCTGAACCAGAGAACCAGCCTGTCCCAGTATCAGTCGGCCCTGTACAAAAGAAGAAATCTTGGAAGCGGAAGTCAGCTCGTTTAGTAAGGGATGAAGAAGCTTTTTCTAAGAAGGAGGCAGAGGAAGAAACTGAGGAGGCAGAGTGCCCCAAAGCAGGGCCATCATGAGGACAGAGGAGGGAAGAGAATGGGTCATTGCTTGAAGAGGAGGAAGAGGAAGAATTCATAAAAGAGACAGTAACTACCTGGTCTCTATCCCTGAGTGAATTGCGAGATGTGCGAAAGGATTTCAGCCATCGTCCAGGTGAGCACATTGTCACCTGGCTGCTCCGATGCTGGGATAACAGGACCAGTAGCCTGGATTAGAGGTTAGGGAAGCCAAGCAGCTGGGATCCCTTTCTAGGGAAGGGGGCACTGACAAAGCAATTGGAAAAGGTGCATGAGTCCTCAGCCTCTGGAGACGACTCCTGTCGGGTGTGAAGGAAAGGTATCCCTTCAAGGAAGATGTTCTATGTC